TTTTCACAAGAAATTCAAATATCTGAGCAGACTTTAAAAGTTTATGGAAAAGGACAGGTAAGTGGCATAATGGTTAGGAAAGGCTGAGGATGGTTCGAGTCCTGGACCTGGTGGCTTGCTTTCTCACTTTTCCTTTCTCTCTCTCTCATCAAATTAAATAATAATAATAATAACAGCAAATTAAATAAATAATTCTTTTTTTTTAAAGTTCATGGAAAAATATAATTAAAGTACAAGTTTAGGGCCAGTTAGTGGCAGGATAAATAAGGCCGCTGGATCTCACATGGACATCTATGTGTTTAAATCCCGGACCTGGTGGCTTGAAAAATATCCTGGGAGGTGTGTGTGCCTGTCCAAGATCCTGAGAAAAGAATAGAGAAAGGATTATAACAAGGCCATCCCCTTGATGAGTGCTTTTTTACTCCTCCTTCCAGTACTCACAGCTGAGAATACAAGTGCCCTATGGCAAAATTTTTAGAAAAGAAAAAGTACGAGTTATTTTGGTGCCAAAAATTTTTTAAATCCATGTATTTTTTAATAATATGTATTTTCCATTAACTTTATAAAAATATTTATTTAATTTTATTTGTTGTTATTAGTTATTTTTTAAGTTGACGAGAGAGAGAAAAGGAAAGTGAGAAAGGAAGCTGGCAGGTCCAGGACCCACACCACTGTTGGCCACGCAGAAGTGCAGCACACCCAATCGCCACACAACCTGCCAGCCCCTTTCCATAAACTTTATAACAACTCCTTACTTATTTGAATTTCTTGGAATTTAAATCCATCAGCCAAGTAAAGGAATAATTTACCTATACTGGGGAAACTGCTAGAATTCAGGAAAATGGAATAAGCCTCATAAAACATTGATGCTAAGTTGCGACCCTAAGATTTATAGTTTTAGAAAGTTAAATTTATATCACATATGACCTAGTAAGGAAAGTTTCATTAAACTCAGCATTAAAAAAGAAAAAGAAATCACTATCCTTTTGGAACCAGCAAATGGTGTAGAAAAGAAAAAGAAATCACTATGCTTTTGGAACCAGCAAATGATGTAATGATTACATTGTTGGACTCCCATGTAGTCAACCACAGTTCAAGTCCCAGACCCAGCAGCTTAAAACTTACAATGGGCACATGTGTGTGTGCCCAAAATCCTGAGAGAAGAACAGAGAAGAAGGAATTGCAGTGGCCATCACCCCTCGGGGGTGATTTCCCACTTTCTGTCTTCGGCGAATGTACATGCCCGATAGAAAAAAAACCAACTATCCATTTAAAAATTAAAGTATAATATTATATGCAGATATTTTGATCAAGTTTTACTTTTACTTAAAAAAAAAAACTGTTTTGAAAATTAGCAGTTTTTATCTGGGTCTTGACTTAAAGCACTTCACTGTCCTTCACATTGAAGACCGTATAACCAGATCACTGCCTAGGTGATGATGCGTTATTCTAACTGAAAACAAAGTACCAAATTACCTAGTAGCCTGGTGGTTAAGGTGTCTGACTGTGCAGATCCAGCCCCACACTCAGGGGCTTGAAAAACAGGTCAGGCACATGTGCCATCATGTTCAAAATCCCAAAAGGAGAGAGAAATGGAGAAGAGACTGTAGCATGACAATGGAAGATGTTTTCTCTCTCTTTCTGTACATGCTCTCTGGCAATGAATGAATGAATATATATAAATTACCTTCCCCAAAAAGTATTTGAGGACCAAAACTGTAAATGGAATTACATAAAAACATGTATTGCTGGGCTAGTGGATGGCATGGAGGTTAAGATGGCTGGATCCCACATGGCCAACTGCACAGTTGGAGTACCAGATCCGGCAATTTGGAAAACATGCCAGGGCATGGACGTACCTGCCCAAAATCCCAAGAGGAGAATGGAGGAGAAGGGATTGTGATGTGATCATCCACCCTGGCGGGGTGAGGGGGATTCTCTCCCTTTCTCTCTCTCTCTCTCTCTCTATCTATCTATCTATCTATCTGGTAAGTGCACACATCCTATAGCAATTTTTTAAAAATAATAAAATCTGAAATAGCAAAAAACATGCAATAGGTCCAGCCCTGTAATGGTGGTTCAAGGAAGCAAGCAAGATCCTACAATGGCTGACCATAGTTTGAACTTTGGCTCCTGTGGCTTGAAAGCACACCGAGGCAGGGGGGAGAGAGAGAGAGAGAGAGAGAGAGAGAGAGTGTATACTCTGAATCCTGATGGGATAGAAAAAAAAAAGGGTCTGTAGTATGACCATGCCCCACTGAGGAGTGCTTTCTCTCTCTCTCTCTCTCTCTCTCTCTCTCTCTCTCTCTCTCTCTCATGAGTACATACACCTTCTGGCAACTTAAAAAAAAAAAAACTAAAGAGGGACCACCAGATGGCATAACAGTTATGTCGCTGGACTCCCACGTAGTAGACCGCAGTTCAAGTCCCAGACCAGGTGGCTTAAAACTCATGCCAGGTGCACATGTGTGCATGTCCAAGATCCCAAGAGGAGAATGGAAGAGAAGGAACTGCAGTATGTCCATCCCATCTAGGGGGTGATTTCTCTCCTTCTGTCTCTCTGTCCCTTCAGCAAGCACACACGCACTATACCAAAAATCTCTCTTAAAAAATATATAAGTATAGAGAGAAAGTGAGATCAATCAAAACATCTTTCTCTCTGAGTACATGGCCACCTGCCAGGCTCTCTGTTTCCATCCAGCATGCTGTAGGCCTAGGTATTTGGACTTTTGCAGCCACCAGAATAGTGAGGAAGTTGATAAATAATCTCCTATGTTATTAAAAAAAGAAAAGGAAAGAAAGAAAGAAAATTGGTCTTGTTACTTTTCAAAATTATACTGTATATTTGTTATTAAAAACCAATGGTGATTTTTTTCTTTGTGGATATTCTTAAAAAGTGCATGTAAGGTTATGTTTTTTAAAATATTCCCATTATTTTTTAAATATTCTCAATATTCCTATTCACATTTTTTATGAGATTACAAATATCTTGCAAGAGGTTAGAAGGTAAAGAAAAAGGCCAGGAAGCAATCAGAGTAAATTAAAGCTTTATTTACTCAGGCTTTTGGTATCAATTGACTACTGGGACACTAATTTTAAAAATAACAAAAGAAAAATTTTATGTTCAATATGATTTCTTATATTCAAGTTAAGTGCCTGTGGAAGGAGAACTTGAGCACCCATAATCTTGACCTACTGGTGAGTTACTCTCATGCATAAATAGCAAGAGGAACTTTGCAGGTGCTATTATCTAATCTTACAATTAAAAGATTATCCTAGATTATCCAAGTATGTCTGATGTAATCATGTAAACACTTAAAAGATTATTCTCTGTCTAGTGGCAGAAAGGAAGTCAGAGATTCAAAAGATGGGGATTCAAAATGCTGTTGTTTTGCTTGAAAATGAAAAGAGCCTCAGTCCTACAATTACGAGGAGCTAATTTTTTCTAATAACCCACATAAACATGAAAGCAGTAAACAGACTCCTATCCAGCCTGGACATCACCTGGGTTCATATTTTACAAGATTATGTAGAGAGGATTCAGCAGTGCTTAGATTTCTAAATGCACAGAAATGTGAGATAATAAAGGGATGCTGTTTAAAATCTAATGGTGAAGTTTTAACATCACCTATTTCGTTAAAATAATGAATGTGGGGCCGGGGGTGCCACAGTAGTAACACAACTGGACCCATATGGGAAGGTTTCCAGTTCATGTCTATAGGCCTCCCTATACACACACAGGGGTGTACGAACCTATGCCCATAATCAGCTGGCCGAGGCATAGGATGGGTCTCTGCATGAGAAATCTACTGGAGATGCCTATCTGTCTGTCAGTCTCTATTTCTCTCTCTCATGAAAAAAATAAATAAATAAACTTTAATAAAAAGGTATATGAAGACTAGCCGGTGATATGGGCAGCTGCACGGATCAAGTCCTGGACCTGGCAGCTTAGAAATCAGCCAGACACATGTGTTTCCATGCCCAAAATCCCAAGAGGAGACTGTAAGAGAAGGGACTGCAGCATGGCTAGTCCATCTGGGGGGGGGCGGGGGGTGGTTTCTCACTTTCCCTCTGGTGAATTCACATGCCCTATAACAAAAATAAAACTTAAAAAAGGCAAATAAAATACAAATATTTTCAGAGTTAAAAGTGGTAAAGATCTAGATCAGATAACATTAAAAGATACGTTAAAGATGCAGAAATACATGTATATGCATATACACACACACGGCCATGCACACATATATATAGATGTGTATGTATATGTATCTTCATTTTCTGTAATAAAATAACCCCTAAGAAGATAAATACACGAATAGGGGGACCAGCAGGTGGCGTGGTGGTTAAGGCATTAGACACTCCCACATGGCTGGCCAGGGTTCAAGTCCTGAATCTGGTGGCTTGCTTTCTCACTTCCTCTCTCTCTCACTCTCACTCTCTGTGTCTCTCTCTGGTCAAATTAAGAAATAAATGAATGAATAAATAAAATAAAATAAATAATTATAAAAAAGAAGATATATACATGAATAAAGTCATTATAAAGTAAAGAAGTTAAATGAAGTACAGGATCATCATCTAATTATAAATTAGGACTGTCATTTTGGGCTTAGCCACGAAGGTGTGTGCTGCTAAGCTGCTAATATGCAGAGTCTCAGGCCACATTGGAGGTCTAAGTTTGGTTCCTGGTCAAACCTAAAAAAGGTTGGGCACAGTGGCACACACTTGTAGACCTAGCTAACTGGAGGCAAATGCAGGAGGACCATGACCTGGAAAGATCCTATGAAAAATCAATCTCTCTCTCTCTTTTCTTCTCATATAAATTAATTTTTTAAATTTCTTAAAAGATTGTGAGATTTAAGATTTGCTTTCAAGTAGGGCACATCTGTACATACAAATCTTCTTCAATATCATTTCCAACTATCTGGGGTTTTTTTAAGGGTATTGGATTTATATTATTTCAAATATGGTAAGTTGAACAAAATCAATACTGAACAACATACCTTTCAGGTAAATTAAGGCTTTGGTGAAGAAGTTCTAATTTTTGACATGTCTCTAGGCTGTGAACAGATGTCGAAGGCAATGAGTCTGATTGCACCTTGTCGGCATCACATAAATTAGCATCCTTTCTAGGTAGGGTCTTTCTGAATTTTCGTCCTAAATCCGTCCATAGGACATTCGTCAACATAACTTTGAGTTGCCTGTTACACACATAAATAATTAATACATATAGTACTAAGTATTGTACAATACATGAATTCATCACACACTGATACAAATCAATATCTCTGGGAATTCTAAATTTCAGTTCAAGTAAATAATTAGAATAACAATTATCATAAGTAAAAAAAATAGTCCTAGTCATTCTCAAATACATGTCAAAAAGTAAAGCTTATTTCTCTTAAGCTGCAATTCTTCATAATTATCAGGTATACTATTGTGGTCACATGCGTGTACAGCAGTTGGATTATTGACAACCCATACATGCTTACTCACACTGTCACTGAAAGGACAATAAAGATTTGCTGAGCTCATCACAGGTGCAAGCTTTTTCTGAACTAAAAGTATGTTTTTGTCTTACCATTTATTGATTCAGGAAACATTAAAACTAAGAATACAACGGTGTACCATCTACACTCTTCTTTTTAAAAAAAAAAATTAATTATTTTATTTAACTTTGTTTATTTGTTTGTTTGTTTGCTTATTTTAATTTGACCAGAGAATGACAGAGTTAGAGAGAGTGGCAAAGCGAGAAAGCAAGTCGCCAAGTCCAGGACTCGAACCGTGATTGGCCATATAGGAATGCAGCGTCCTTAACCACCACACCACCTGTCCCATCTACACTCCTAAGTCTACGTAGGCTTTTTGTATTGGAAGGTTTTTATAGGATTTGCCACAAGGCAAATGTGCTCACCAGAGAGAGCATATTCTGTTCATTCCCTATATCTTTGTGTTGAAAACACTCGAAGAACTGTTCAGTTTTGGAACCATGGAACATAATTTATGCAATAGTATGAACTGGCTACCAAGCAAACTTAAAACAGTGCCAAATGAAGAGTAGCTGAAAGAATTGGAAATGTTTAATAAGAGGAGTATCCACCTTATTACTTGGTAAGCAGTTTTAAACACTGTTTGTTTTACAAAAGAATGTTGAAAAATAGAAAGCAAAATGCTCATATATTTTCAAAATAAAACAGGAGATGTCAAAAAAAAAATTATTTGTTTGCAGCAGTCACTTACAGCTAACTCCCCAGACCATCTAGAAGGAAGAGGGTAAAATTCTTCAGAAAAATTTCTACAGAATGCACTGACATGCTAAAAAATTATTTCAAAAAAATAGTTTAAGCTATTGGTTTTACATTTTATTTATTTATTTATTTATTTGGAGAGGTTTTCGCTATAGGGCGTGTGCGCTCGCCAGACAGACAGAGAGAGACAGAGAGACAGAAAGCGAGAAATCACCCCCAGGGGGGATGGTCATGCCGTAATCCCTTCTCCTCCATTCTCCTCCTGGGGTCTTGGGCACACATGCACACGCGCCCGGCGTGAGTTTTAAGCCACCGGGTCCGGGACACGAACCATGGTCGACTACGTGGGAGTCCAGTGACATAGCCATTACGCTAACTGTTGGTTCCCAAAATGTATTTTAAAAGAGATGAGTGACATCTCTGAATCAATACTTCTTTCAACAAGTATTTACTGAACTTTTAATTATAGAGTAGCTGGGGCTGGCAGGTGAAGTGGTGGTTAAGGGTACTAGACTCCCACATGGTCAACCACGGTTTGAGTCCCAGACCTGGCAGCTTGCTTTCTCACATTCCCTTCCTCTCCCTCTCTCTCTGTCCCTCCCTATTCAAATTAAAGTAAGCAAATAAAAAAGTTTTAAAATACTAATTATACAGTCGCCCTTTTTTTTAAATTGCATTCTGTCCCTCTTTGGTCAAATTAAAATAAATAAATAAACAAATATAATTTTTTAAAAACTTTTTGCAAAAAAGAATTTGTATTGTCTTATAGATTGCCCTGAACTCTTCCAAAGTCAATGTCAGGGGCCAGTAGGTGGCGTAGTGCTTATGTCACTGGACTCCCACATGGCCAACCATGGTTTGAATCTCAGACCTGGTGGCTTGAAAATCACACTGGGCTCGTGTGTGTGCATGCCCAAAATCCCAAAAGGAAAATGAAGGAGAGGGGACTGCAGCATGGCCATCCCCCCATGGTGTTGATTTTTCACTTTCCCTCTCACTGTCTTTTTCTCTCCAGCAAATCCCACACACCCTGGGGCAAAAACTAGTAAAGAAAAAAAAAAGGTCGATGTCATGACTCAAAGGAGTTATAGGGCAAAGTAGGTAGGAGCTGTTCTAGATTAAGAAACTAAAAGGGCATAATAGGGGCCAGCAGGTGGCACAGTGGTTAAGGCACTAGATTCCCACAGTGCGAGTCCCAGACCCAGTAGTTTACAACTCATACCAGACACATGTGCATGTGTGCCCAAATCCCAAGAGGAAAATGAAGGAGAAGGGATTGTGCCATTGTGATCCATTCTGGGATGTGATTTCACACTTCCTAACTCTCTCTCTGTCTCTCTGGCATGCATGCACACCCTATAGAAAAAAAACTCTCTATAAAAAGAGGACATAATAACCAAATACAATTGATCTAGATTTTTAAAATATATAATTAAAAGTTTGGAAACATTTACAAAATTTTGATGATGCATTTTTATAGTAAATGATTATATGAAATTACTATTACTTTTCATTTTTCCCTTATGGGAGATCATGGGTGAGAAAAAAAGATCAGTATTTTTTTTTACAAGGTCCTACTGTCTCTTAATCTTCCAATCCCAGCCTCCCAGTTAGCCAGGATTACATGTGCAATCATACATGTTCAGGTTTGTCCAGGAAGTGCACTCAGGCCTCCCATGTGACTTCTAGGGTCAAAATTTGTGTACTATCTCAGCTGGGCCCATTGTTAGTTTTCTTCACAATGAATTGTGATTAGAAGAGAATGTTATTATTCTATATGCAGGCCGAAGTACTTAGACATGAAATGCTGTGATATACACAACCTAAGTTTCAATGTGCTATGAGAAAAAACGTTTATGTATGTGTACATAAGCATATGTGATCCCACTTACATATATATATAAAAAGATGGAGAGATGGCAAAGGTGTCAAAATGTTAACAACTGGCAAATCTAGATAAAAATGTGCTAACTGTACTCCTGACAAAATAATTATACATCTGGAACATTCTAAAACAAATATAAAATAAATGCATGGGGCAGCTCAGTAGCTCTTCAGTTAGGTGCTGTGCATAGAGTTGTTTCTCACATGACCAACTGCAGATCAAGTCCTAGCTCCAGCAGCTTGAAAACACACTGAGTATCTGTGTACATGTGCCTCAAATCCTGACGGGATGGAAAATGGAGGAAAAGGGACTGTGGTATGACCATACCTAACTGAGGGGTAATTCCTTTATTTCATTTCATTTCATTTCATTTCATTTCGCTAGAGGGCACATGCAAGGCATCCCCCCATGGGCAATGGTCATGCCGCAACCCCTTCTCCATTTTCCCTTTCAGAATTTTGGGTGTGCACATACATGTGCCCAGTATGTTTTTCAAGCTGCCACATCCACAACTCAACCCATTCAAATCAGCCATGTGGGATCCAGCTGCTTTAACCACACCACAAGCTGATCCAAAGGGTACTTTCTCTCTCTCTTTCTAGCAGGCACAAGAACCCTCTGGCAATAAAAACAAAAATAAAAATAAAAAATACAGGCATAAAAAAAGTCATGCACAAAGATATCCATCATGGTATTATCTATTAAAATAAGAAATAGGTTAGGAGCCAGTAGGTGGCATAGTGGTTATGGTGCTGGACTCCCCCACAGTCAACTGTGATTCAAGTTCTGGACCTGGTGGCTTGAAAATCAGGCTAGGCACATGCGTGCGCATGCCCAAAATCCAGAGAGGAGAATGGAGAAGGGATTGCTACATGGTCATATCCCCTGGGGAGTGATTTCTCACTTTCCCTCTGTCTCTCTCTGTTTCTCTCTGATGAGCACACGCACCCTATGGCGAAAACTTAAAAAAAGAAAAAAAAAAGTAATAAACTAAAAGGAATCTTAAATGCCCAACAATAACAGAATGGTAAATAATCATAATAAGTCACTTAATAAAATGTAACTTGGTCTCTTAAAAGTCCTCTAATTTAAATTTTAATGTATCTGGCTGTTTTCTACTTGTTTTATTTCTAAGTTTTCTATGCTGAACAAGTACTATTTTTATAAAGAGAAATATCAACTAATTAATTTTTTTAAAGACTGGTAAATAATTCGAGTTTACCTAGCCAAATATCATCTATCAATTGACTAGTGAAACGAAAATGTATATTTTAGAATCAGGAAATTGTTCTTTCCTTTGGCTAGAGGGCACATGTGCTTGACAGAGAGAGACAGAGAAAGGAGAGGAGAAAGTAACTTCCATGGGGAATGTTCACACCACAATCTCTTATACTCAGTTTAGCCTTCCTTTCAGAATTTTGGGCACACATGCATCCAACAAGAATATTTCGCAAGCTGCTGACTCTGGGACTTGAGCCACGAGGTTGGCCATGTGGGTTCCAGCTGCCTTAACCAGACCATGGAGCCAGACCTAAACTAATCTTTTTTTTTTTTTCCCAGGCTTTTATATGTTTTATTGAAGCAAAATTTCAATGAAAGGGGGTTTTTATTTACAAAATTTTATGTTTGTGGGGACTGCTCACCCCACTTGGACACAAATAAGGGTAACTAGTAAGCCTGTTTATGTATTTTCTTATTTTCAGTTTACATGCAAAAATAATTTTTGTTTGCTTCACATTCATATAAATTCCAATATTGTAAATGACAAATAAATCCTCCCTTACCCAGTCCTTAATTCAATATACGAACAGTTTCAAAAACATATACTTTAAATTGGTTTAATCTTGACGTGTAATCCAATGAGACTGAAAACTGAATATTTCAGGTCCTGTACCAAATAGTAAAATACTCGGAGGCCTTCAGGACCCTTTGACTGATTTACATCAATAAGGGAATCAATTTTTGAGGTGGTCAAAGAAATGTGTGCATCTCCAATTACAATTTCAAGCTCCTGTCAGCCAACTCTGCCAGGGGGAGGGCACAAGGCATCATCTTCTTTTGTAATTTC